CCGTCGGGCCATAGACCCGTTGACCACTCCCCTCTGGATGCGACCATCTAACCAATTCCTCCCCTGATGATGCAAAGCAACACACTTGTAATACTTGGCACTAAATGAGTGTATGCATTTCAGTGACACTAATCTTAAAATATTAAAAAAGAAAACTGTTTATAAACCTGAATATTTAAAACTGTCCTAAGACAAAGTTATTTGCCTTCTTAGACTGCCTCAGGAACACAAGCAGTGAACTTGTTTCCCTCATTTACAGTGAAGAATCTAAGAGTTTAATGGCAAAAAAAGTAATGCCACACAGGACCCAGGGTCATGCTTGTCTTCATGTCAGGAAATATGTGTCTTTTGTTGCTCTAAAAGCTGACCTTTAACACTCAAACAATGTGCTATGAAGAATGGTCATTTTGTAGGAAGCAGTCGCAAAGGGGGCAGTACAGCATCTGATGCCCCTCAGCATAAATTCTCACAATTGCCCTGCACAGGCCAAGCGTAACATGAATTCCACTCACCTAAAGATGAGATTCTTTTGTTATATCCCTATTTTTACACAATTGATATTGTTTGCAAGCACACTGGAATGACTATAACAGATAAATATTATTTGTGAACCACACGGTTCTGAAAATTAATATCCAGACTCAGACAACTATTAAGTCTGGCTTTCTTGGAAGGGTGGACTGGACCAGACTCTATACAAGTATGAAGTTATAAGGTATGAAACCCTAGGATCAGATTTCAGACATGCATAGATATATGTACAGAGAAAAGCAGTCTCGAGGGTTTTTTTAATCTTTCACAGCAAGCTAGTTCTTTATACTACTGAAGATTCCTCTTCACAATTGGAATCAAGTTCCTCTTATTTCATTATGATAACACAATACCTATGCATACCGGTTCATTCATATTAACTTAAGTCTCTGCTTCACTAATCTTGTATTAACTACAGATCCTACTGAGTTTGCCCCCTCTGCCTTGCTAAAGCATACTGATTTCCTCATGGAATGAGAATATGGTTTCAGAGAAAGTTTTGGCTTCCTTTTCCAAGGTACCAGCCCCTGAATGAAATCCACAGATGTCACACACACTGGCTAAATTCAAAAGCACGTCTGGTCATGTCAGATAACTAAGACATATTGTGTTATTTCCATATGGAAAATACATGCAAAACATCAGTGCCTTGTATTGGAATAATTTCAGCATACCGCAGGTAAATCTGATTCATCTATAGAAAATCTATGAACATTAAGAGAAATCACACAATGATATGACTAATTGTTTTGAATGATTGTAAGTGAAAAGGAGAACTTATGTATTTGTCCCTGTGGAAGAAAGAGTAGAAATAGGAACAGTAGAAACATTTTGTTTCGTTCTGTTTTCACTTGCAATAAGATGTGCAGATTTTTTCATCAAAATACTAGATTTGAGTTCACACTGCCTTTAAAATGAAGCACTGCTGATAAATTTTATTTTTAAAATGGAGTGCATATTTAATGTAAAATTTATTTCCCAGTAAGAGTATAAAACATATAATAGGTCTCAAAATTATTACGGAATATATTGCTTCAGTGGACATGTATGGACTTTGGTTAAAATACTGGCTAAAAACGTCTTCCTCTTTTTCTAAAGCCTCACTCAGAGCTCTCTCTTCACAAAACCAAACAGTTAATGATGCTAAGTTCTTAACAGTGAAAAATTATGTGGGTGTTGAACGGGAGTCATATTATAGTAGTTCATTTTTTCTCCAAAGGAGTAAATTATTTCTGTTTCAACCAGATGGAAACTTTTGGTGATTCCCCTCATAAACAGGGGATTTACTGACTAATAACTTATTATTATAAGGTAACTAAAAGCCTGAAAAGCTTAGCACTCTTACATATACAGTTCTAACAAGGTAGCAAAAGAGAGTTTGAAAAAAAACACAGAATAAACACCTACTCTCTTCTAATAACTGCCTTTGCAAACACAAAGTAGCAGGTCTTCAGCAAAATCACGTTAACATTGAAACAAACCAAAATGGGTAGTATTAACCTTCTAAAAGAAGGCTACTGTGGAATTCCTCAAAAATCAATCTTATAACCACTTTGTTTAATGTTTTAATCACTGATGAACTGGCACAAAAGAAGGTTTACATTGTAGACATCTGCTGATGATACAAAGTTGGGAACATTACCAGGCAGAGGAAGATGGGAATATCACACAGGAAAACTTGGATAACCTTGAAGTGGGATGACATTTCAAAGCATAGAGTACATGAACATGTACCTAGAGCAATAAAAATCTCACAAGCCATATGTGTTATAGACTGGAAACTCATCAGTTGGAAAGAAAACAAAGAAAGAGAAGGACCCGGGGGCATTATTTGATCGTGGATGATTGTGGCCCATCAATGTGATGCTGTCATGAAAAAGATGTTTGTGATCCCCGGACACACTAAGTAAGGTGCTTCCTGGACAGACTGATTAAACACCATTGAGCAAGGCACAGCTGAAATCTCTTCTGGAATACTGTGATAGTCCTGGTCATCCTTTTTTTAAAAGGATGCATAAACTTCACAGAAGGGCTACTGGAGTGGAGTTAAGAAAGAAGTGTCTTATATGAGAGGATCTTAGTGAAGTTAGCTGTTTTAGCACACCAAAATGAAAGTGAAAAAAAGAGACTGCTTCCAAAAAAACATTGAGGAGATAAGCATGAGGGAGGGGGGGAAACCTATTTAAGCCAAGGCGATGTGAGCACCAGAACAAATGAATATAACCTGTCCATGAACACACACGTGATGAAAATGAGCAGACAGATTTTAACCAGCAGAAGAATGAGACTCTCAGATAGCCACACAACCATGGCAGGGAGGACAAAAAGCCTATCTAAACTGAGGATGGTCCTTGATTAGTTTATGAGTAGGTTTACATGATGTCTTTGTTTGCAATCGCCAAGACTAGGCTTGATGACCCAGGAATTTCTCCAGTCCAGGCTAAAGATGTACGATAGCTTTCAAACCTGCTTCAAAGCAAGCCGCAAAACTAATGACTCAAATGTGAGGATGACGTGTTTAGAAAGAATTTCTCCTCTGGCCTAAACCAAAGGCGGTGGTTCCAAAGCAAGGAACTATGAATACTGAAGACAACTGAGCACGCTTTCTCCGTTCTCACATGCAAGATGCTCCCAGCTATTAAGATGCTTCAAGCACGAGTATACGATTTTATCCCTCAATCAATCTGGATAGCAAAAACATCTGTTCTAGAACCAAAATAATTTCTTCTTCTTAGCCCAACATATATTTTATGGGTAGATCTCAAAAATCTGAGGGTTAACATGGTCTTTAAAAGATGCAGAGCTCCCTTTCACATGACAATACAGTGTCTCACATTTATGGCCATGACTGATTCCATAAAAATGCAGTAGATAAAATCTTGATGCTGAATAGCCCCAAGCCAGTCAAAATGTACACTGACTAATAATGCATTGCTTTTATGTGAAAGTCTAAAATACCAAAAAATACCTTCGATTCAAAGAACACCACCCACAGTAGGGATCCTTTGCTGATAAGCATTCTTGCTCGGAAACATATCTACCGCAATTTGCAACGGGTATTCTTCTCACCTACAACCAAAGAATGCAATAACATACTGAATTAAAATAGCCTCCATAAACAGGGAAATTGAAGGTCACCATTAAAAATCTGACAGCAACCAAGCACGATCCCTTCGGGAAAGTTTCCTTATGGACTCCCCTCTGCCAGAAGACCTTTGGATAGAAAAATGCAGCCTATTTTACACACGCTGTATTTTGCCATCAGATGATGAAACGCCTCTGACAATGACAATTTGATTCTACTACTCAAAGGCCAGCATGGACAGATTAATGCAAGAAAGACTGATTAGCATAGTGAATTATAGATAACAATAGAAAGGAGGTATATTTTACAAATAATGCTCTGCTTAGCAGAACACCGTTTTCCTCTCATCAGAACTGAGATTTTTAAATGATTGATGAAGGTGCATCCAAAAATGCATGCGCAAAACAAAATGCATCTGTGTTTGCATCACCATGTCAGGTTACTGCATGTGCACACTAGAACAAACGCATGCAACTACTTAGCATGCATGAAAATGCCATTTCAATAAGTAAATGTAGATAATTGTGGCTATATTGTATGTAGCTATACTTGTACATTCAGCTCGAATATCCTAGCCAGCCATTTTCAGAAAAGGAAAGGAAAAGAAAAAGAGAAAGCTGATTACAAATACTGAATACAAATACACATAATGTTATTAATAACAATGTTAATAATAATCTTGGTAAGAAAAATATTCCTAATTCAAACAATTTTTTTACAAATTTGCAAGAATTAAAAGTTCCTATATTTTGTGAACAGAAACAAGGATACATGGCTTTCTGCAAAACTGTATTTACTGTTTTTTCCAGCCGTATCTTGTAAAATTCAATTTATCTGAAGGCGTGCGAGATAATCAGTTCAGAAACCAGCCAACATCATAGACTGCTAGCAAGTTAAAAAAGACAGTGTAGAAGCCTTATTTAAGCTCCAAGAGATGATGAGAGGCATGTATTCCTGAAAGCTGTTGTTCCTCTATAGCAACTTGCTCTTTTACCAAAGCTAAAGAAAATTCAGGTCTTTACTTTGAATGTCTACATATACTTTTAACTGAAATTTTGATTCCTTCTGCATTTGTGATAGATGGTTTATATCAGTCAGGAGTTCTCCTACAAACTTACCCACTCTCTCAGATGGCAGGCTAAAATGCTACACTCACTGCTGGAAAAGTGATTTTATTGTAAATGAAGGTAATCTGGGTGCTGGGTGAAATCCTGTCCAGCTAAGACGGACAGCCAGCCCTTATGTTTTCACTTCCCCGCTGCTGGCGAGACAAAGGAATTTGCTGAGCTGATGCTCAGTAGCCCTGCTGCAGGATGTGCTGCAACAACTGCACCAGCTCCTGGGAGCCGCTCTCTGCTTAACATGCAGCTCTGATGCGTTTGCTCACATGCAGTAGCTCCCAGTGACTGCTGAACTCCTTGGCCTCACTATGCATACACATTAATCACTTCTGATTGTGTTTTTGGTTTTTTGTTTCTTTGTGTTTTTTTTAAAGTCTATGCCTAACTGAAGACAATGAGAATTTTATCATCGATTTCAGCAGAACTAAGACTTCAAACCCACCTCGCAAATTAAGAGATTTCTCCACATTAGAAACTCCATAATTGACTAGCAAACCCTGGCCTACCAATACCTGGATTGCTAATTCAGAGGAACTCCGTCTCCAAAGAGTCTGCAAGTTTTGTTTGCTAACTCCAAGCTTGATTCTGCATGATGCCTCCAGGAAAAAGAGAAACAAAGACCCTCTCGACAGAATGACATAAAATAAGCATGGGATTAAGGGTGTTGCTGGACCATAGCAACAGTGGGCAGCACCATGACAGTAGAAGCTCTTCTGAGCTCTGCAGAAGTGCAGCCCAAACTTAGACAACATAACCAGATATTAGATGTAAAGTTGATAACTGCAGTTTGGATATTTAAGGTCTAACTCTGACCCAAACTGATGCTTCACTTATAAAGTAGCAGAAATCCGTAAAGCAGTAATTTACTTGAATTTATTGTTTAATTTAATATTGTGCTTACCTTATTGGCAGAGGACAGATAGATGTAGTTATTATCTACTGGGTCAAGTCGAAGTTTGGGGAAAATGGAGGTTTCTTCCTTAATTTCATACAAAACCTCTGGGCAATTAGATTCCATATCCTCATTAAGTACAGCCTAAAACACATGAAATTAAATTATTCACAAGTCTTTTTATTGATCAGTCAGCATTTTAAACAAAAGCCTAATTTCAGCTACATCAGAGCTTCTGAGATGATTTACTGTGCCCTGATTCAATTCACCTATTGCACTGGCTCTCACACTGCAGAAAGATGGGGGAAAAGACCATCAGAACAGAACTTTAACAAAATCCATGCCAGACACATTTTGCACTGAATCTGGCACTGGCTTAGTGCCACCAAGTATGTTCCTGATTGACACAGAAACTGAATGTGGAAGAGATGCCTATATCCCAAAGTCATAATGTGTTAAGTACTCCTATGAATGGAGAAGAAAGTATTAGCCTTCAGAAAAGGAAGTAACATCCAGACACCCATAATGTAAAAAGGAACCTACACAAGTTACTGACAACTGTCTTCAGGACAGAAGTTTCCTTGTGGCTTCAGTGAGTATACATCTGAGGTGGTATTTCTTTTTCTTACCTTGCTCAACTACAATTTTCAACCAGCCTTTGCACAGAATTCAAGAGAACCAGAGACCACAGAAACTTTCTTTTGCAAGTTAATAAGCACACCAACATTGATGTAAGGTTTTCCATAAACATGACTAACCAAGGGAGATATGTTCATGGTCTTCACTGTGCTAAGGAGACATGGAAGACTTCAATTTCATTTTTCATTATCAAAAACACAGTGAAATCAAACGGGCAAAAGCTTTTCAAGCTCTCTACTATATTCCTCTCCAACTGCCTGCTTAATAAAAACAAAAAAATAGAGTCATCCTTTGCAGTGTAGACAGGAAATGCACATTCTTGCAAAACCCAGAAAAAAATAAAAGCACAAAAGACATTTGACTGGATGGTTGAAAAGTTTGGTAATGAGATAAGATGACTTTCACTTCCAGGTGATTGATTTAAGTAGTGTAGGTCAACTATTCAGAAGCTAAGGCAAAATGAATCTTGACTTTTCTCTCTAACGGACAGCTATTCACATCACACAGATACACTTCCAAACAAACAAATATGCTTCCAAAATCTAACAATATTTAATATTTCTACCGGAAAATTAAAGCAAGGAAGGAAACAAAAGACAGAGTAACTGAGAACTCCACAGTCCATAAATTGGTACTGTGGGCATTAGCAGTTTAATGAAATGTTTCCATGAATTTTAAGCAGGGTACATAATTGCTTTTGAATGTAATCTTGCTCTCCAAGTAACAATACAGCAGTTACTTCACAAACAAATAAAAAAAAAAAATAGAGATTCATGGGATTATATCTGTTTATAATACAGTTCCTAAACCAGGAAACATTTACCCACTTGAACACAGCAGCAGCTGATGGAGAAGGAAAGAACTGCCACACTCAGCTTACCTTCAGTAACTGTCCATCATCTGTTCCCAAAAAGAGAACTATCTGATTCAAAACAACTGTGCCATAAACAGCCGCTAATCCAGAGTGAATCAAGGTAGGTAATTTCTTGATTGATCGTGCCTCCTGAAAATCAGATATAAGAGAAAGTTATTACAAAATCATTCACCTATACTGCAAAAAGTTAAGAAAAAGAAAAAGAAGAATCTCTGGAAAGATTCTCAGAGAACTCAACTTCAGACAATACTTTGGGTAACATTTTAATTCTGACACAATTTCAGAGCAACATATCATTGGAAATGGCACATGAAACATGAAACTACTTATTTTTTATACACCACAACTGGTCATGTCTGTGATAGAAATTACAGCTACTGCAGCTAAATCACTGACCTCAGTGGGACACAGACTTGGCCAAACACGCAGCAAGTTACCTTGCAACAGAATTTCTCTTTTTTGGGACATAATGTCCTGGGCTTATTCTGAATTGTCAGTTCTTCTCAATGAAGACACGCTTTGCCATCACCTGACTGCACGTACCACGAAGGCTACAGATACACTCAGCAATGACTTTTAAAGGCATGCAAATATTCTGGAGAAAGGAGGCGGGGGGGGGATGTGGGGGTGTGGGGGGTGTGCGTTAGAAAATGTGGAGCTTCATCCTCCCCTTTCTGGTTTCCTGTTTTACACTAAAGGAAGTTGAGAATTGCGTATAAATATAAAAATGAGATAAAGCAGCATAAAGTTCATGTCAGGGAGAACATAAATGTACCCGTGTGAACTTTAAAATCAACATGTTACCTACAATTCTCTGTCCAAGCCAAAGACAGTTAAGTGACAAACACATGTAAGCAGTTCATGAAAGAAAACATCGTGCAGGAAATCCCTGTAACGTGTGGAAGGAAAAACCAAACCAAATAATCCCGATTGTAGATGATCAAGTGCTGAAAGGAAGCCCTGATGTGTGAGAATAAGGTCATTCACCAGATGAGAGATGGTCTCTAGCCCAAACTCCCTACAAGCCCAGATATCTCCCCAGCAAGCAGTACCTCAGTTTTCCAGTCCCGTACTTGCTTTAAGTCAATCTTCATGGCAGATGCTGCCAAAGGTGTGATCCCACCTGCTCTTCAAACGGGTCCAACCCCAGCCAAGCTCCACCTCCCCTTCCCCTCTACTAGTATAATGCTTTCCAGTGAGGTTGGTTAACAAAATGAGGTGTGCCTAGAAAATGGTCTGTAAATCCATCTACCTACCTACCTACCTAAATTTTCATTTGAGTCATTCTCCTTATCACATGAACACGTGGCTGCACGGACACCAGTGCTGGCACAAAGGAGTGGCAGGCATGGAGAGGTGGGGGGAAGAGCTCAGGTAGGACCAGGTCCTTCGAAACAAGCCCAGTGGGTCAGCTTACAAAGCCCAGAATCTCAGTCTCAAGGACAGATTCCTAAACGCACAGAAACCCTCTGAGCGCAAGAACCTATTTCGTTTTAATGCACAAGACAAAGTGTAAGAATGGACCATTAAAACTGACATTTTGCCAAAACCAGCACAGCATTTCTCAAAGTTATGAAGCGAATCTGTAATGCAGTAACAGCTGAATTCAACTCTCTTGCATGCTAGGATGCTGGCTTAACCCCAAAGTCTTTCCACATAGAAATAAATTTTTTCTGAACTGCAATCCTAAGTCAATTAAAATATTTTTCAGTCATCTGAATTATTTTAATTAGCTTGCAAGAACAGCCACTTGGAGTAAAAGAAGACTTGATTAACTTTCATATTTAAAGATTTGTTTTTCATGCAGCAGGAAGAAGACACAGGAACTGTCATGTACTGGCACAGAACTTCAGTAAAACCCACATAGGCATGAGACTCCACTACCATGGAGGTCTGTTTTAGATGGCGGGGAAGTGATTGCAAGCATATTAAGGTAGAAAAAGTTAACTCGGTGTTTTTTATTGGATCAGAAGGTAACAAAACTCCAGCGCTGGTGCACACAATGAGCCTGTATTTAGGCTAAAGAGTGAGGAGGTGAAGCTTCCAGGCTTTCATTTCCACCAGAATTAGGATTTTTTTTTTTCTGCAGTGCACCATATAGTAGTGTAAGGAAAACAAACCACCCTAGGGTCCTCGCAGACTCTGTACAATAAGATCAAAGAAGTGGGGAGGACTCACCCAGTCCCTGAAAAGCTTTGCTGCCAGATTTTATTTTGACCCACATACTAATAAAATAACTAGTGTCATATCAGTGCGTCCTCCTCATCTGACTGAAGAACCAATACTGACAAGTGTGGAAGCCTCCTCCCCTCGCTCTGCTTGCTAGAGGGAGGGTCAATGTGACATTGAGCTAATACAGATAAGAAGAGAGGGAATTTAGACAGTGGGCAGTCACAACAAAAATTGCCTTCTCTCTTTTGCAACCTACTTCTCCGACTTGCCCGTTCCCTCCAGGGTGCAGCTGCTGCTTTCACCCTTCTGTCATTCATTTTCCACGTGCATTTATTTTTTTAACAAGCTCTTTTACCTCTTCCACTGTGACTAATGGGGTTACAGCACTGTAGGGCCTTCCCAAGCTTTTTCTTTCACAGCTAAGTCCATCCTTAGAATGCATTTACAGTCTAAACTTCCTTTATACTTGAAGAGTCACTCATGTCCACGATCATCTATCTGTCTATCCTGTAACATTTTCAGGCTCATACAAAAACAAGAAAAGCACAAGAAAAGACAATACTGCTCTAGAAGACCTTTCTTCGTTTAATTCTTCAGTTTCACCCTCTGTTCTATTCTATAGTCCCCCAAAATCTTCACATGCACAGGTAAGCCTAGAGATCTCCTGAATTAACTTACATTTTGCTTTTAAGTTCACCCCCCCTGTGCTGTTCAATTATTGCCATGAAAGGTATTTATACTCATTTTCTATTTTGCACCTCATTTTCAGATTTATGTCCATATGATTCCAGCTGCAGCAACCATATTCACACTTCTACTTTCCGTCTTCATTTCCTCCTGATTATTTTACATTGCATGCCTCAGAGGGAAGGGCAGCATTTTTAGCTCATGCAGCACTCAACATATTGCAGCTGGCCAGAAAGTAAAAATAAAGGGTTTGAGCATCAAAGTGAATGAACAGATGCAGCTATACAAAAGGACACAAGACTTGTGAGCAGCGTATAGTAATAGTCCTGCACCAATTTTATTATATCAGAAGGTAACAAACTTAAATATTGGTGCAGCGAGCCTTTATTAGGGCTAAGGAATGAAGAGATGAACTGTTCCAAAATTTTATTTCCACGAGGTTTTTTAATTTGTACACTGCATACCAATGCTAGGTGGACAAACCATCCCAGGGGAGCAGACTGCAAAAAATCAGGGAGGATGACCAGGAAATGAGACCAGGTCTTCACAGAGACCTTGCAGAGGCAAGATCCTGAGCCTCACGATGCGAGGCAGGAGGGATAGTCAGAGGCTACGCTTGAGCAAGAGGTTGACGGAGACTCCTGAGATGGGGGAGGCTAGAAATTTATGACTTCTTGCAGCAGCAGAAACACTCCTTCTCTGCCCTTAGATTTGAGTTTACAGAATTGATAAAGTGTCCTAATAAGCTATGAGGGAGAGCAAGCTCCATTAAGGAAGGTTTTGAAACCAACTGAGCTTGAACAGAGCATTAGCAGAAAGCAAGAGGAAGTGGTGGGTGACTGTGGCTGGAGATTCCCTCCTGTGAAGGATAAAGGCACGCAACTGCTAAATCGTCATGCTGTTAGAACAAGTTTCTTTTTTTTTTTTAGGGGCCCTGATCCATTACATTGCAGAGAGACTGCCAATGATTTTCCATTCCTTGGACCACTACCCATTGCTGCACATCCACGTAGACACCAAAGATGTTGCCTAGTGTAGACCAGGACCAGGGAGCTCCGGGGGCAAAGTGAAGGAGATGGGACCCCAGGCTTTGTTAACCCTATAGGGTCAGTGAAGGATGATGCTCTTCTGGATTTGCTACTCACAAACAAGGAAGAACTGACTGGAGATGTGATAATCAATGGCAGCCTTCACTGTAGTAACTACAAAATAACTTGAGTTAAGGATCCTGAGGGTGGTGAGAAAAGAACAGCAGAGTACAGAGCTGGAGACCAGGCTTCAGCTTGTTCAGGGAACTGGTTAGTGGGATCCCCTGAGAGGCAGCTTTGAAGGGAAATGGAGCTCAGGAAAGCTAGTAGGTCTTTCAGGACAACCTCCTCCAAGCACAAAACTCAGGAAAACAAGCAGACATAACAGGAGATGGCCCCTAGCTAAGCAGGGAAGTAATGATTGAATGACAATGCAGAAAAACAGTACAGGGGAGGTGGAAGCAGGAACAAGCAACTAAGGAGGAACTGCCTGGACATGTAGGGATGGCATTAGGAAAGCCCAAGTTCACCTGGTGTTGAAACTGGCAAGGGATGTTATGGGCAACAAGAAGAGCTTCTACCACCACATGAGCAATAAAAGAATAAACAATGAAAATGTGTGCCAGCTGCTGAATAGGTGAGGTGATTTACTGACAGTGGATGCAGATAAGGCTCTGACTTTACCGGCAAGGTCTTGCGGTCTTTTGTACCTACAGAGTTCAAGGAGGAGAGAAACTACCAGTACTGGAAGAGGATTAAGCCAGGGATCCCTTAAGAAATCTCAGCTTATAGAAGGCCCAGGGGAACCAGATGGGATCTGTAGGAAGATGCTGAGAGACTGTCTGGTGACACTGTGAGGCAATTCTCTCATATTTCAAAAGTTGCGGAGATCAGGGAAAGTCTCCAACAACAGAATAAAGGCAAATACTGCACCCATCTTCAAAAAAAGACAAGAAGGATGACCTGGGGAACTACACATTGGTCAGTCTCACTTTTTCCCTGGGAAAATCATGGGGCAAATCCTCCTTGAAGGCATTTCTAGGCACCAGAAGAAGAAGAAAAAAGTGACTGGGAAAAGCTAGCATGGATTCATCAAGGATAAATCATGCCTGACCAACCTGATTGCCTTCTGTGATGAAATGACTCGATTTGTGGAAGAGGAGAGAACAGTGGATGTCATTTACTTTGACTTTAGCAAGGCTCTTGACACCATTTCCCACAGCATCCTTGTATCCAAGTTGG